CCCCAGCCAGCACGCTGGCTGGGGAATTCTGGGAGTTGAAGTCCATACGTCTTAAAGTGGCCAAGGGTTGAGAAACACTGTTATAGAGAGTACCTTGGACAGCAAGAAGACCCAACCAGCCATTATTAGATGAAGTACAACCGGGTTGCTCGCTGGAAGCTCTAAACCTAAAGCTTAAATATTTTGGATTCAAAGGCCAGTGTCACTGAAGAAGACCCTGAAGCTTGAAAAAAAAATCAAGGGCAATAGAAGAAGGGGCCAGCAGAAGACAAGGTGGCTAGATATCATCATTGATAACACAAGCAGATGTGCGTAAGAACTCAAAGAAGCAATTCCGGACAGACCATTCTGGTGAAATGATGCCACTGGTCCACAGATAGTTGGAAACAACTTAACAACCAACAATTAGTCATGAGGTTGGACTGGTCCAACTACCGCACAAACCATGCAACAAACCCATTACATGCAACATGTGAGGAAATGGCTCAAATATGAAAAGACCTGAAACCAGCCATGGTACCCTGGTTCAGAAATGTCAATAATGCCAAAATAGCTGGTGGTATTTACTGCTGTTAAAATAGTTTCTTAGTGGCAATTGTTTTTTCTTTGATTCGGGCAATTTTCCAATGTGAGACAAAATGTAGTGAAATTTAGGAAATCAAATACACAGTGGGAGAAGCATCCACACAAAGAATAAAACAGAATTAAAATGTAAGAATCCTATTTCTTGTAGCACAAGGCATTATCATACCAGGCCTCCCTCATTCTCACTGAAGCCTGCAACATCTGTATTTAAGGACCTATACTGTTAATTGTTTAGACTCCTTAGAACGAAAGAGTAAATACTTTTTAACAGAATGAACAAAGAATAGCTCACTGTTCTTCCACCTTAGGGCAGGTACAAGGCAGATTATGAACAGCGAGGCACAGGGGACTTCCAGTGCGGACATGGAGAACTAGATGTCTCCGAAGGAGTGGAGACAACACTGCAGTGAGATTGGCAGCCAAAAGGCAAATTCTGGCCAGTGAAATCTCTCTGAAAAAAAGGAGAGATCATGAGATTGCCCACCTGTACTCCAGACAGCTGCTCCTCATGAGTAAACTGCAAGAAGTGAGGTTTCTGCAGTTGGTTTGTGAATTGAGTGGCTGGGAGTCGAGGAGTTTTCACCAAGCTCACAGCCACAATGTAGCTTATATTATGGACATAAAGTTCTGCTGAGACTTATTTCTTAATTACTTTTGGAAATTGCTTTTTAACTGCTTTTTGACTATTAAGAACCTTTTGATCGACAAGTTTAACTATATGCACTGGGCGAGTTCACTTTTATCCTCAGTGGAAGAAGTTTTAAAGATAAGTTTAAGGACTTAAAAAAAGTTTTTTGGAATAAACAGCAAAAGAGTGATTAGGACACTGATTTTGGAAAGTTATAAACAGACTAAAGGTCCAGAAGGATTTAAAATAAGATTTTGAAATGAACTATAAGAATTTTTCCTGTGGGAAAGTGCCATTGTTTGGAATTCTTAGAAGAAGACATGATAAGATGGAAATTTGAATATTGGACACTAGAGGGAACCAGAAGCAACTAAAGAATAAAGGAGAAGAACATTTAAATTTGATTTACTAACACAGAATTGAGCAAAATACTCAATTGGTTAGGCGTATTGGAGGATATTTTTGAACAATGGATCCAGAAGTTAATCTTAGAAGTGTCTGCTATTATAGATGGACCCTGTCCAGATGTTAAGGAAGAGGAACAAATTTCACCAGATAAGACTGACACTGATTTGAAAGTGGATTTAAAAATGTCAAGCTTCAAAAACGATATGGAAAAAGACGTTATACTGGATATACAGTTGAAACCGGCTGATGTTTTAATAACCAAAGGGGATATACAAATGGCAAACCAAAAGAACGACTTGGATAATTTTCCTATATTGGATTTACAAATGAGACTTGTTAATTCTGAAGGATTTTGTGAGAAGCAACAAAGAGAGATATGAGGGTTCTTTATTTTCCAAGGACTGGACACCACAGCACAGATCGGTACACAATGCTTTATTGTAGCATGCACCTTCCCCAACAACAGGCTATTGCTCTCCACCCTTCTAGATTCTGTAAGGTGATGTTACCATACTCAGTCCTTTAATACTTAGTTCAAGCAAAAGCCTATTAGTCTGTAAAGTGGCAGACAACCTATGCCTTCTTCCAAACGTTCTTACACTAGTTGGGATGAGGTGCTGTCTCAGTGTGGTTGTTCTTCTAGTTGCTACCGAGTTCCCGGCAAAGCTCCAAGCAGGACTCCCACCAAGACAGGCTGCTCGCTGTAGCTTGTGGCCCTGGCAGTTGAGTGACAGTACTCTTGCCTGCTTGTAATAGCTGCCAATCTCCAGACGTCTCCTCTGCTTCCCCGTCTATATGCCGTTTCCTTATCTTCTTTTCTCCTACACCCCTGCCCACTCCGTCTTAACGTTTGTTTTTGTAAGCTAAGGGCCTGGGTGGGTCCAGAGGCTGCCTCTGGACGTTGGCATGTCCTTGAAAACACCAGGGTGTGGCTCAATTATTACAGGCAGCTGAAATTATTACAGGCGTGGATGCTTGTGAGCAAAGTTGCGAGTGAATGAATCAATGTACGCATGAGGGAAGAGGGGTTGGAAACATTTCTGCCTGGCTGCAACTACTTTTCCGAAGTGCAGACAGTAATCCCCACTTTTCTCCCTCACAAGGGAATGAAAAGAAAACAAGTCTAGGACATTTTTTGAAGGGATTAAAGATTAAGGTTGTTAAAAATAAAAGGAAGCAATATAAAGTGGGTTTATTTGATCAAAGTTAAAATAGATATGTTGTTATTTCTGGTAACCCTTAATGGACTTTTGCTGATCAGGAGTGAATGACAAGGTTTTAAGAATCTGTTTATAGATAAGAGATGAGATATGGGATGAAGAGATCATTTGTTGTGTTTTCAGAAAAGGTGATAAGTTACTAAAATTGTTTATACTTGCTGTGACGAAGCGGGAAGTGAATTGCTCATTATTTTTACAATTAGGATTCTATCTCCTTGTGCCTCGGTGTTTTTTAATAATAATTTTGCTAAGCATTACAGTTATATAAATAAAAGCTAATACAAACTACAAAAAATAAAAAAATAGAAAGTGCAGAGGAAAAGAAAAAGGAGAATAGAAAAAGAAAAGAAAGAAAAGAAAAAGAATAGAAATATATAAAGATTTCTTTTCTTTTTCTTTCTATGCTTTTTATATTACTTTCTTTTTTCTTTTCCTCCGCACTATTTTTTTTATTTTTTTTGTCATTTGTATTAGCTTTTATCTATATATCTGTAATGCTTAGTAAAATTATTATTAAAAAAAAAAGAACACCGAGGCACAAGGAGATAGGATCATACTTGTAAAAATAGTGAGCAATTCATTGACAGGCCTTTCAAAGTCCAGTTAGGCAAGCTATAATATTTCAATATTTTCTTTGTACATTTTGGACAGCTGGCTTAATTTAATTTTGCTGAAGATAAGCAGCAGTGTGCCTGCAGAGGTGAAGGAACATTACATTAAGACAACACATGAATCCCACCCATGGCCATGGTAAAACCAAGCAAACAGTGACTTCTTAGAAATTGAATTTCTGTTATCCAGATGTCAAAAATGTAATACCCCAATTGCACAGACTATTGCTGGTGAAGCATGCCAGCAAATGTGCAACGTAAATGGGCTGAGCAAAGAGCTGCAAACTGCAGTCAGCACTGGTTTTCTGGGTGAGCGATAATTAGCACCGTGTGCAATAAACATTTACATCTCACGTTACAACATTTTTAGCAAATGTTAATAAAAGATATACTGGCAAACTGCAAAAATGCAGAACCGCTGGAAAGGACTTCCTATCAAGCACAAGCGAGTGCTTCTGGTGTACAGACGGCAACTGTTCTTTCCATCACGCCGCAACATCTGGAAATTAATCCGCACGAAAACATACCTAAATAAAGTGGTTGTGCTTCTTTGGCATCCCCATTAACATCATTACTGTAGTCAGAGATCTTGTAAGCCTCATGATGATAATCTGGAATTTAAAAAATAAGAAAGTAACTTAGAGCAAGTGATGTGGAAAAAAAAAAAGAACGCTGAATGCATTACTGAAAATTTATCTCCTAAGCTCCTGATGCATCATTTTATTTTATGCAAAATGATGAAGTCAAGGAAAACTTGCACAGTATCAGCTCTCCTTAAAAATAAAAATAAAACCCTTGACTTGTGTTAAAGGTGCTTAACCAAAATATTTTACATATTTTTGCTACCAGCTTCAACTGGCCTCTGGTGCTGTATTCATTTTCATAGTAAATTAACACAGCAGATGCCAGTTCTGAGATCTTGTCTTATGACGGCTTCACATTTATGAGAAAATGAAAAGTTTGCCATACTTGTAAACCAGCAGAGATCGGCAAGCTTCGCTTCACAATAACATTAGTGGGAAGCCCAAGAAATAACTTTATCTCTCTGCCTTTTATTTGGGAAGGAAGCCAATGAATGTTAATGGGAACAGATCAGCCCCCATGAATGGAAATTAACAGCAATTTCAAATAAAACCAAATACAGACAATGAAAGTAAAGACTTCCTTTCCACTGAAGGAAAATTGGTGCATGTTACTGTTAATTATATTGAATAATTAACAGTAACATGCACTAGAGACAAAAGGGAATTATGACAAGCAGCCTTAGAAAAGCTATATTCCTGAATTTTGTTTCTGACTCTACTGTTGGGTTACTTGGTGACTGCAAGATGTAGTGGATACACAAACTTTCAGAATTTTCAGAGGATGTGGATTCTATTATAAATAATATCTGTTACTTCCCCTGGAAGTATGATCATGTTTTGAATTACAGAATAATGTTTTAAAATAGAGGGACATCAGGCAGTTCTCTTCAGACAGGTTATGTGGATAGTAACTCATAGAAGACTATAAGACTCTCTATTTTCTGAGATTCTCCATGTCTGTGAAAATCCCTGTGTTTCTCAGGAAAAGTTAGTGGTGCTCGAGTATGCCTTGGGTAATACTGCAATCCCCTTTTCACAAGGAGGCTGACTTTTCTTGGAATTGGCATCCTTGTCTCTTCCTATTTCAAATGTGCATCTTTCAATCTCTGCAAAGCAGGACCTGCTCCAACTTTATTGCATCTAACTTCTTTAAGGAAAAACAAACAAACATTATTCTTCAAAAGTTTTGGAACTATGAGTAGGAAGGGCTACAGGTCTCTGTTTAAAATCTGCACATCAAAAAAAGTTGTTGTGCATGAACACAATGCTTGGATACCATCTTTGGTCATGGATGGGATGGCACTGCCTCAGGTGGACTCAGTGCACAATCTGGTGGTTCTCCTGGACTCACGACTCCTACTCAAGGAGCAGGTGGCAGTTGTGGCCAGGAGGGCCTTTGCACAACTACGAGTTGTGTGTCAGTTGCACCCATTCCTGGACCAGTGTACCCTTCTCATGGTCACCCATGCCCTAGTCACCTCCCACTTGGACTATTGTAACACGATCTACATGGGGCTGCCCTTGAAGTTTCAGTTGGTTCAAAATGCCGTGGCCCGCATTGTTCCGCGCAAGTCCAGATTTGCCCATGTGTCACCTCTTTTGCGGGAGCTACATTGGTTGCCAATCTGCTTCCAGGTCCAATTCAAGGTGCTGGTTATCACCTTTAAAACCCTACATGGCTTGGGACCTGGTTATTTGCAGGACCGCCTTTCCCCGGTCACATCTACCCAGCCCACCATAGCGGGGAGGCTGGGTATATTGCGGGTCCCATCTTTGAGGGAAGTACATCTGATGGGACCACGAAGAAGGGCCTTTTCCGTGGTGGCCCCTTCCCTGTGGAATGTTATTCCCTCTGAATTAAGATTGGCTCCCACCCTGATGTCGTTCTGGAAGGCCCTGAAGACATGGTTTTGCCAGTGGGCCTGGGGACCCCAAGCTGAAAAGGAGCCAATCAAGTGGTTGTGCTGATTGTGTTTTTGGCTGCCGCAGGGGGTGGGTGTTGATGAGTTTTTGTACTGGGGATTTTACTTTGTAAGCTGCCTGGAGTCACTGTGTGTGTGAGTTGGGCGGCCATGTAAATTAAATAAATAAATGTATGTATGTATGTATGTATGTATGTATGTATGTATGTATCTGAGAGGTATGTTCTAATACAGATGAGCAACCAGGTTCTCTCCTGATAGTTTGGACTACACCTCTCATAATCTCTTGCAATTGGCTGTGCTAAGCAGGGTTAATGAAAGGTAAAGGTTAAAATGTCTGAAGAATGCCTCTTCTCGGCTCTAAAGACAAAATACAGTTCACCCAAGAAGACAGCTGGCCTGTAGGAGACACCACAGACCAGAATTTCTCAACCTGCTGGTTGGGGAATTCTGGGAGTTGAAGTCCACACATCTTAAAGTTGGCAAGGTTGAGAAACATTGCCATACGCACAAGTGGCTTGTGGCCTCCCGTCCTAATCAAGACCATCAATCTTATGCCAACTACAAACTATCTGTTTGTCCTTTGGATGGCTGAGCCAGTGTTTTAAAAAGGAAAGTCAGTAAACCGAAAGAGGATTCAACTATGTAATTGAGAAAGAAAAAAAAATCAGCACCTATGAATGAGTTACATAGGTGAGTTTAACAAGTAGAAAAAATGTAAATATTGTATGTAATTGTATGAATTTTTTTTAAAAAGCTCAGCATTCTGACAGAGGTGTAATTTCAGTGACCTCAAAAGCCCAAATATTCTGAAATAAGAACAACAAGTACATGGAAAAAGAGGAGTTCAGGGGAAAATTATGGGAAAGTAACTAACTAGAAATGGTTGAGAAAGGAGAAATTTAATAGGATAGAATAACAACACCCCAAAAATGTGGCTGCAGCAAAAGTACAGGGTTAGCATGGCATACGGGTGAAGAGAAAGAATAAGAAATCTTGGATGCAAGTATTAAATCAACAGTTACCTCGCCAGACAGTATACAGGCAAGCTAACCTCTCAGGCTCAATTCTGTATTATGAGGGGAAATCACAAAAATCTAAAACTAATTCTGGAAACTTACTGAGAAGTCTGTCTCATGGTCTTTAGAAAGTAAAATTTCAAAGTAAACTGGCAAAGAATAACAACCTAAACTATTTTTATTTATAACTCGGTCCTAAGCGTAATTATTCCGAAGCCAAGTCATACTGAATTCAATTGGTTTGTTCCTAGATGCAGAGACAGAAGATATCAATCTTACGGAAACACTATACTTCGCCCCCAAAGATACAATTTTTAATCTCCAGATGCCCCCAAAATTTCAACTCCTGAAACGCCTAACGTACCATAAATGTTGTACTCAAAGGATAGCGATTACAATAGGGAGACTGCATCCAGAATTGGACTGGCATATTACAAATAGCGAGAAAGGACAAGAAACACATATTTATTGCAAACATCTGAGTCCAAATATTCATTGTTAAGAACAAACAAATCAACCAATTAAAGTAACTTTACAAAACGACCATAGCAAGAGGAGAGCCATGTTAGCCTATGGCAGCCAAAAACTAGGAGACATCTTGTAGCCCTTTTTCTGACTAACACATTTTATCAAAAGGTGCAGCTTATGAAATATTACTGTACACCTTTTTCTAAAATGTGTTAGTTGGAAAAGGTGGTACAAGACTCCTTCTGCAATCAACTGTAACAATAATATTAATGATAAAGTAATAAAATTAAGTAAAACAACTCTTTTAAGAAAATAGAATATTTAAAACAACTTTTAAAAAATGTAGAATACTGTAGATGACACATTTATAAACCCCAGTGAATTCCCACCCATTAAGGAAGGTTATGGCAAGATCTGCTTTCATTTAGCATTTCTCCCCATACAAGTGAATGGAAGCCATTTCTCTTCTATGTAAGAACATTTACAGGTATGTGCTGGAATACCACTTCAGTGAAACTTAGACTTCTGTTGGTGATGCTAGCTATGAAAATAAGTCTGTAACTCTGGTTCTTCATCTAAATTCTAGCGGTCAGCACCATGTGGTTGATCTGCAACCACCATCATTCTTCACTCTGGCCTTGCTGGCTGGGCTGATAGAAGCTGGAGTTGAACAACTTCTGGAGAACAACCCATTGTCCTTCCAATCTCTAAACTGTAACAGAAAGTAGATAACTTTTAGACTTCAGAAAGAGGCATTTAGGTATGACCAGAACTACTTTTAAAAATGAGGTAGTCCATTCAGGCATTTGGATCTATGCTCACCACTGCTAGCTTTCCTCAAGTCAGTGAAGCTTGCCAAACCTCAACTGCAGTGGCGCAAGGAAATCTTAGTATAATTTAAACGATCTACAGTTCAGGCAATGGGATTAATCCCGTGAGCCAAGCATAGCATGTAACAGCTGGGTTCACACATCAGGCTACATCAAAATCAGATGTGACTTTGCTGATCGCCGAATACGTGACTTATTCAACAAACCATCAGGTGAGAACCTTGTCCAGGTAGTTTTCTTTAGCTAGAAAATATTCTTACACTGAAAACCATAAAAAAGGGAACTACAGTTTGGATTTCACAGGTTTCACTGCATCATACCAGAACTATTTCAGACTTTAAAACTTGTTACTGCTTTTACAATTATATATTTATCATTGTTAAATTTAGGCCACACTCATGATACCTAGAATCGCTGTCATCAGTCTCTTCAGTTGAATTTTAAGTAGGAAATACCATATAACTGAAATATACTGCCTCCCCCAAAGCACAGCTTACTTTTATTTTAATGGGGTTATACAGCATTTTGTATTCCCACTGAAACTACTGCAATTTCCAACTCAAGCAGGCGAAATGAGCAGCTTAAATTGGGGCAAACATAGGCAAACTTAGTTATGGTTTAAACAGCAGCCTTCCACTACAGTACTTGGATGCGATGTTGGAGTTCACGATCCCATTATTCTCCCTAGAGGCATTCACTGGAGAGTCAAAAAAGTCAAGATGGTTACCGTGAATGTATGATCAAACTCCTGCCTCTTTTTAACACATGTTGCATCTTATTGCCATAGCTACCATCTTGACTTTTTTGACCCCCCCCATAATAAGCAACTAAAAAGCATAAGGTTGGGGTTAGGAGACAGTTCTTCTATAGCAATGTGTCTCCTGTAACTACATAGCCTTGTTCTGAATCTTCCAGGGATATTTCACCTCAAGTATAATGTAACCCCTCCAAGAAAGAAATAGAAAATAATTTTGTATGCCAGGTATTCCCAAAATCCCTTGGCTTAAAACTTTTAGAATAAGAATTTGCTAATTCCAGTTTCTCGCCAGTCCTCATTTTTCCTGCTTTACACCCACACTTTTATATGCAGTTTTGTTTACTGAACTGCACTGCAAAATTCAGATAAATGTGAATGCTAAAGAACAGCTGCATCATACATTGATTTAAGAAGATGAATTCTTATCAAGATGCAAGTGGAATGAAACTCTTCCCTATCCTTACAGATCATTGTTAATTAACACTCATAATCTCCTCTGGGGGAGATGGGCGGGATATAAATTTAATAAATAAATAAATAAATAAGACACCATCATGGATACTTTATCCAGGCATCCAGAACAATGAGTGTCAAAGAGACATTCTTAGTATTCCCCCACATTAGTGAATCTCCCTGTCCCTGGATTAATTTATGAGCCTGATCATTTTTGCAACTGGAAGGCTATGCAAACATTCCCCCCACCGACCTTGGCTAGTTCCTATGCAACTATAATTAACTACAATATTGCACCCACCCCTTTGAAGGCAGGTCAACCGTTGGCGGTATTAATTTTTTTAAAACAAGGAATCATAAGGAAATCTACAAGATTCAGTGCTACAAAGAGTGCAGAAGAGATCATTCATGACTCTGGCCACGAGACTGACAGGCAAGATCAACAAGCAAGACAGAATTCCTTCATTCATGACATTTCACAGGAGATCCATTTGACATGCTGACAAGGTAGAGCCAGCATTAATTGCTGATGCTTCCAAGGGGTGGCGCTACTGCAGCTTGTAATGTTCCAGAGAACCTGTTATCTATTTTAAACCAAAATGCCATCCCCAGCCATTATATGTCAGATCATTCACAAGAATGGACATATGCAAAATAAAAAATGGCCAGTTCAAGTTGGTTCATGATGCACATCAAAACGTTAACAGGTGCTGTTTATTTATTTACTATATCAAACATTTACCAGTCATGGACTGTTTTAAGTAATGTGGGTATTTCGTTTAAAGCTGTAGCGATGTGTGGTAAACTCCATATAATTTATGAGTCAGTAATGAGAAGGTTATTGCCTCTTATTTTTCTGAGATACAATAGTTCAGGGCCTGTGCACTGTGTATCTGTCCAATGACAGCCAGCAGGAAGGGCCTGTGATACTGTTGTTATGATTCAAGGAGAAAGGACAGGCCTACTGCTAAGGAAATGCTTATTAATGCATAATTATAAGAGAAATAAATTGTCATATGTGCCAATTAGAGGTGGCAGAACAGAATGTCAGATCAATCTGGCCCATATTAAAGTGTAATTTTAAAACTGCTTAGCATTCACTTGTCTTAAATTTCAGAAGGAATTTTCACCCAGATTATGACCACCGAACATTTGCAGAAGATTTAGAAACAAGATAAAATGCAATATTGACATAAAGTATTTCAATTTGATCATTAACATTTTCTTATGAGAATTTACTACTAAGGCCTTGCCAGATGGTAACTTAAGGCATCACATATTAATCACAGCAATCTCTATCTGGTTTCCGAAATCTACCTTTACCTATATTACTTAACTTAAAGTTGTGAAAGGGAAAAAAAAGTTCAGAAATAAATCAATCCTGCTTTCCTTCCCTGAAAATTTCCAGTGTCATTTCTAGCTTGTTAACACCCAACAACTAGCGACTGTGTTATTATAAACCCAGCCTTAGACTCAAAAAGCAGAAAGCCAATATTTAAGACGATTATCGATTCCTGCCAATAATATATATTTTTTTCTTTTTGGTCTGGTAGATCCTGTTAAGAGTTTTCCAACCCATGAAATATTTCCAACCAACGAACCCCGGCCTATTAAGTGTAAATAACAGGAATCACAACAACAATCATCGTAATCGTGGTCACGGCATTACACCCGCAATTACCTGCCCTGAACTTATCATGCAGGGCACATACGCAGTTCCTGGAGGTATTTGTTTCAAGGCTGAGCCCTTCCCAGCCATGTTCTAAAGTCAAATTAAACAGAGTTCCAACCCCCGAACAAGAACACCTGTTATACAACACAGAGCAAGAAGGCGGCGAGAGGAGGCATTTCGAGAGGTTTCGTGCCGGGTAAATATCTACATTTCCCTTCTGGAAAGCGCACCCCCCTCCGCCACCAAGGGCCAAGTTGCACGGCAGCCGCTCCCCGGTCCACCGCCACGAGTAATCCGCTGGTTTGGGTCGGCGCTTTCCATTTCGGGGCCGACCCGTGCCAACCACCGAGGGCAGAGACGGGGGGCATCCGGATCTCCGGAGGGCGCGGGGATCTGGGCTCGGATCCTTGCAGGAAAGAGCCCGGCTCCCCGCCTCCCCACCCTGCCCGTTTCCGACGGGGGCTTTTTCGCTGCCTCGGCCAGGCAGGAGAAGGCAACTTTAGGGCTCCCCATCTCTCCGGGGGGATGGAGAGGGAAGCGCCGCCGCCTCCAGGATTCACCCACTTCGGCAATTTGGGGGCGGGCAGCCCAGGGAGGGGCCCCGCTTTCGGGGCGTCCGCGCTCCGCCCCGGCGGTACGCCGGCG